TCGAAAACCCGTTTGTTCCAAAGGATTGTCTAGAAACCTAGTCAGCCTTCGGGTAACTTCGTTCGACATGATCGGGAGAATTTTCGCAGGAAACTTGTTTGAATGGTTGATGTCCCCAATGTCTGAATCATTAACAGAGTGGAGATAAACTAGATGCTCGAAATCAGAGACTAGCCGTCCTTGCTTAAACATGTAGTAGCATATTCTACCAATTCTCTTGCCTACAACTCTTTCTCGGCGATCGCTTTTGTCCAATCCCTTTGGTTCACTGTCCTTTCCAGTGCTGTAATGTGGCTAGTAGATTTCAAGTGTGCCAGAAGATGTGTTTTTAAGTTTCGAAACTTCTTTGATAAAACTTTCTCAGGAGGGTCGATAGCACCGACAATGTTGTCATATTTGAATATTGCCAAATAGGTTTTATTAGTTGTAAGTTCAGGCAAATGTTGAGTAACTCGTACACATACAGAGCACAAGACTGCTTGCTTCCTTTCGTCGTAGCGGAATTCGTCGAACTTGCGTAGAAGATCATCTAGAGATCAGCAGCTATTCATCAAAAAGTGTCTGGCAGAACTGTTTCACGAGGTGAGGACGTATATAATGCGGCACTATCATCGCGCTATGATCCAGTATCAGATTGGAATTACCACGCATCTCATCGAGTTTAAGCGACAGATTATCCAGGTTCTGATTGATTTGTGACAATAAGTAAGGGGTTTGTTTGGCGTCAATTGCTACTGTGGCTTCAGACTCGAGGTTACTTTCTAGATCTGACGTTTTCTGGTCTTGAGAAACCTCTGGCGCCACAACTGTCATTGCCAACTCGGTGAACTCGCCATGGGGATCACCAAGGTCATCACTAGATTCACCAAGGTCATCAGTGCAAGTGGGCTCAATTGTTTCTTCAAAGGCTCTCTTTGCTTCGTTATTTTCTTCATCGTTTCGAGCCCTCTTTCTTCCAACTGGACCATCCACTCGATTGAAAAGGGGGATACAATCGAAGACTGGCATGCAGGACGCAAGTCATTTGGTTTTACTTCTGGGTGCTGACGTTGTATGTGAACTCGATAGTTTTGAAGCAGGACCTCAGTTAGACACACTCTACATTTTCGTTTTGCAAAACTCGCTCGATAATTACCAGATGACATGAACTCGTGAGCTCATAACAAACTGCAAAGCGCGAACCACGGGAAACTAGGCCTTGGATTTGTTGGAAAATATTACGACGCTTTTCAAAAACAAACGTTTTGGAAATTTTAACGGTGAGAATTTCGAACGTGCTCGTTTCATGGTGTTTAAAAATACAGTAAATACAGCAAGCTAAGCAGGTTATAAATAAGTATTGTGTAAATGCATTTGCGATGCCTCTCATTTGTTTTTAACTCGCGTCACGTCAGGTAACTCATGTTTTGAAATTTTTGACTGAGAGAAATTTTCTTTATAATATTGGTGTTTTAACGTAAAAATACAAAGTAAATTAATTTTTTAATTTTAAAAAGCGATTCAATAGGAAAAAACGAAAATATTAGAAAGTATATTGAAAGTATTATAGTCAAAGAAGATAGCTGAAAGAAACAAAAATAATATCTACCAACGAAACAATAGCCAATACTTATTTATCAATATTTTTTTTGTGCGATGTTACTCTGAGTGTATATCCACACCGGGCAGCCTTGAAAAATGCCCGGCCACGGCGGGATTCGAACCTAGCTACGACCTTTGGAATACTAGCCCAATGCTCTTCCAACTGAGCTACGCGGTCAGGACGGTTCGAGTATGCGATATTTCGGAACTGAGTCTAGTTCCTTCGATATCAGTGTAATCTAATAATCATGAAATCTGCTGTGTTGGTGTAATGTACTCAGGTGAATAAGATGTTTGTGTGATGTTACTCTGAGTGTCCTGACCGCGTAGCTCAGTTGGAAGAGCATTGGGCTAGTATTCCAAAGGTCGTAGGTTCGAATCCCGCCGTAGCCAGGCATTTTTCAAGCCTGCCCGGTGTGGATATACACTCAGAGTAACATCACACAAACATCTTATTCACCTGAGTACATCACACCAACACAGCAGATTTCATGATTATTAGACAATACTTATTACATGTGATATTTATTCGCGAAAAAATATGATATCAACATTGACTTAATTGGGTAAACATAACGTTGATATAAGCAAACGTAACGTTGAGTGGAGGTCAACGTGACGTCGACTATTTGCAAACAACACAAAAACTCGGCGCGCGGCAAGTTTAATTGCAAATAGCATGCAGTAATATATACACTGGACTTCAATGATTACATACCCTAATATTAATTCCACCAAGTGAAGTGCAAGATACCAAAATCATTGAAGTTCACCTTATCACAACCCGCACACCCGATTACCTATATATACATGAACTTACGGTTACAGCTCAACAACCGGCCTCTGTAGCTCAGTTGGTTAGAGCGCTGCACCGGAATCGCAGGGCCGTAGGTTCAATTCCTACCAGAGGACCTTGTGCTGCATTTTTCGCAGTCGTTCCTGGTTAAGTCTTAAAATGTATATATGCTCACTTGGATTACAAAGCCTAACATTCTAATAGTAATATATACATCCCATTTTCGGACGTTGAGCGCGTGACCTTCCCGTCCTTCCGGCAAGGTTACACAATTTATTACTCACAGGTTCCTTTAAAAACAACTGTAGATGTTTCAAATTGAAAATATTGCCGTATTTTAAACGTTTGTTCGCGTTATTACAACGACTTCGCTTGTTTTCGGGAAATTAACAACTTTTCTATTGCACTGCTAATTGCTAAAAGATCAAGAAAAAATTTGTACCTGCACAAATGGAAAATGCGAGCGGATCGATCGATAAGGGATCGATCGATAACGCGCGGAGGCCTGGATGCGAGTCAATGATGCGTCCGACTATCAATGAGGAGTCCGACTGTCTACGGAAAAAAAAATTGCAGCGGCGCTCGCGCACTTTATCGAGGCCTGATTAACACTATACTAGCTGTATACAGACTTTACAGTATATATCGATGGCTATACTATATTAACAGTGTCTCACAGCAGCATGCCATATTTCACAAAATAAAAATCCTCTTGTATTTATATTATTATAAAGAACATCGTCATCGATCACAGTGAAGCAAATGACAATGTCACAAATATTCAAGCTGTTTATCATGCAAATTTATATTTATTATGCGGTGTCTATTGTATGGACTATTGTTTATAATATCAGAGAAATAGCCTGAGTTATGTACCGTATAACTAGTACGTAGAGTGTACTTGCATGTTATTCATTCGAGTAGCCGGCTGTTGAGTGTTGTGGTATTATTTTACCGTGGATTTGATAAAGGAGAGGTATATACTTCGACGTATTTCTTGATCGTTGAATTTCAGTGAAGCCAATCAGGAAATTACACACCACACGGTCTTTAATATTGCTACAAAGTTTACAATTAGCGATATTTCGGAAATCATAAGATCCCTCTTGTCGTTATTAAACAAATCTTTTGGGTCGAGTATCAGGATAGACTGGTCAATCTAGAAATATATTATCTTCATATCTTGTTTGTTTACCGCGACGTGTGATTTAATACTTCGACAAAGCGATCGACATGTAATATTGGATGGCACACTACAGGATTTATATACTCCTTAGAAGTTTCTTTCACATTACTATTAGCGCTCGAGGTTACAACATATTTTTAGTAGCCTATTAAACGATAGTGTGCTAATAGGCGTGCCTTTGCTTTGTTTATTTTTACATTTGACAGTATCGGCCACAATTCCCTTGCCACTCCTCTCTGAGTGTTTTTAAAACGCTAATTGAAAACACCCCAGATTCTGGGGAGTCACGTGACCAGCCCAACCAGGGTCTTTCCGCAGCTTGGGGCGTGCGAAGGTAAGAGCCTGGGTACGAGGTTGCATGTATGACTGTCTTGGCCCAAATCGCTATTATAGTTATTACTGATTGTAGTTCACGTTTGAAGTGGGCCTGAATCTGTGATAAAACTTTTTACGTTGCAAAAAAAGACACCTTTGGTAGCCTTAGCCTTAAATGTTGTCTTAAATCTAATCGTTACTTAGTGCCTAGCACCTACTGTACCACACCACTTCTCAACCTTGAATCATGATCCTCTTTGGCCCAAACTATAAAACGAAACCGTTCGAAACATTAAACTACTTCCGTTCGGGAAAATATCACAAGATTTTAACATTGAGATAATTATTATACTGTCGTATTGATCTAAAATTTTCTCTCTTCTAGTTGATCTGATGTAGACCAACCAACAAGCGTGTACAGTTACCATCGTTTTTTTTCATATAACCGGGAGATAAGGACTGGTTGTTGTTTTGATGGTACTTAAGTATATCGTAATGATAAAGGTGAGCTTTTCCCATTCTCATTCGTTCTTTTCATTCGTTATTGTACTAAACACAACATGTTCATCAAAAGAGAAAAATGACCTAGTATATACACCTTTCGGAATAGTCAGGAGGCGTCTTCGATCTGCTCAAATTGACTCTCGGGTATAATTGGAACAATTCCTCGGCATGAAAGACATCTTGTCAAGCAAATGAACGAGTGGTAGGCAAACCGTTTAATAGTGCTGTTCACTGAAACGAGACCTAATGTAAATAAGAGGATAAAACCAACACTACTGACAAGGATCGCTCTTTATTTACGGGTTATACAAGCACCTCCTAAAGTTACTTATTTTTTCGTTTAGCGCATATGTAACCCCCTCACTCACCCTATCATATTCTTTTATTAACTGCTGATGCTTAACTTTTTGTTGCATTGGCTGTTCTAAACATCTCTTACTGTGACTAATTGTTTTATTAGATTATACAGCGCGGTTATGGCAACTAATTATTTTACGAACGACGTTTCACTCCATTGTAAAAAATGTCACACGAAACTTGCCAAAAGAGAAATCGTGATGCTCGCAATAGTGCCGCCATCGCAGCAACATCTGGCAGTAAAAGAAGGAAAGGAAGACGAAGCTTACGCAAAGGTGGTAAAAGAAGAAAATTCTAAAGGAGGGAAAAGTGCGAGATATTGCCCGTTTATAATTCGTTGCCGAGAATGTGGGAATCATGTAGGCAATGTGACGTACGTCACCTCCAAATTGCTTGTTTGCTACAAAGTTGACAACCTTTATCTCTTCAATGGTGTGGAAAAAACGGAAATGAAGAAACTTAAGGTGATTGCCGGTTTTCTTCAAAACTTGGGAGTTGAAATGATCGAATATCTCCCATCAGAAGTGACTTGCCAGTCACTTCAGTCTAACGAGCCCATGAAGTACTGCGACATATCAGGCTTAACCTATATGTCTCATGATATTGACAGCTTGACATGTGAGGTCCCACGGAACTACCAGCGTGAACTTTTTCTGTCCGCCATGCGTGGAAATACACTTGTTTACCTCCCCACGGGCTCTGGTAAGACTTTAGTTGCAGCGATGGTGTTCGGTTGCATGAAGCAGCTTAACCCCGGAAAGTTCATGGTGTTTATTGTTGATCGCATACCACTGGCCTATCAACAAAGTGCGTATTTCAAGTCCCAGCTTCCTCATTTAAGAGTTGAGACTTTAACAGGTGAAATGGAACAGTTCAAGAAGAAAACCGTTCATCAAGCGCTGGCCAATAAAACGGTTGATATCTTAGTCCTTACTCATCAAATATTTCTCGATTCCCTCGCTGTGGGAAATTCCGCTATCCAACTTTTGGGCATTTCTGTCCTCGTCTTTGATGAAGCGCATCACTGCGCGGGTGGTCACCCTTACAATAAAATCATGAATGATTTTTATGAAAAAGTTACACCTGATTCTTTTAAACCTCTTGTTCTTGGATTGACTGCTTCACCAGCTGGGGAAGTAACAACAGAGAGAACTATCGAGAAGCTTCAAAAGCTATTGAAAAATCTACATTGCAATATCACAATGCCTGTTCAATCGGATGATCTGGTCGCTCACGTGAACGCGCCTAATACCTCTTACGACGAAGTGGAAACAACGGACGTACGTCAGATTGTTCTTGAAACGCTAATAATGGAACATATCAAAGATCTTCAAAGAAACCATATTGAATATACGCCAGGCTATCAACAAGCACTTGCGGGGCTTGTTGTATTTTCCAGTCATTTTAGAGGAGCTCTGAGAAATTTAATAGACAGGTGTCATGGGGACAATAGTCAAGTAAAAACCTTGATCATCGGTCAACATATGATGCGTCTGCTCAGCGTTATTGATATAAGTCGGGTTCTTTGTTACAAGGATGCATTGGTGTACCTGAATGATTGTATAAACAGCGTCATTCAAGCTACTTCTCCCTGTCAAATTGCTCTCAAGAAACTGATTGGAACAAAACACACATTTCTCGCACTTAAGAACCATGCTGCAGTAGGAGTTAAAGACGATTATCCCATATCTGACCGATACAGATGTCTTGAGGATCGGATACAGCAGTTTATTTGTCGAGTCGAAAAAGATCCAATTACTTCGAGAGGAATTATATTTGTCTGCATGCGCAAGACAGCTTACAAACTCTGTGAAAAACTCAGATCAAATTCACACGTATCCAGATTGCTGAATCCTGCTGTATTTGTAGGCCATGGAGATGGCAATTATGATGGAATGGCCTGGAAAGACGAGCAAGAAGTTCTTTTACGGGACTTTAAATCGGGACAAATTAAACTGCTTGTCAGTACAAGTGTCTTAGAAGAGGGCTTAGATGTTCCAATCTGCAATTTGGTCATCCGTTTTGAGGGTGCAGCAACTTTACGCTCTCTTGTACAGAGTCGTGGTCGTGCTTCTCGTCGACCTGGGAGCGAATTTGTTGTAATTTGTAGCGAAAAGGAGAAACATACAGCAATGTCTTTAGTAGATAAAGAAGAGAACATGAGATGTGCAGTTACTAATGTCATGGATAGCGAAGTTGCCAAATCGCAAGCTCTAGAATTTAAGTGTGAAATGAAACGGCCAGATCTGATCCGCCGTGAAGTTAAAGAAGTCGAAAATAGCCGAGACGTTAAGCGATATACACCAACCGTTACCGTTGTTGTGCAGGTTTTCGAGAGACAAGAAAGTCGTGAGCAAAAATTGAAAATTGTCACCAATAATTTGGACAGTGCGTTCAACGTTGAGTCCACAAGATTACTCCCTACTGGATCCTTATCTGGTTTAAGAGTCCAGGAGGACGACGAGTCGTCCCAAATTGCTTTAATATTAAAGCAAAAGGACGACATGCGCGACGAATTTCGATCCAAAGATGAGTTTATTTGCAATATTACAGAAGTGTGGTGTAATATGATGACTAATGAAGAACTGCTAAATATCTGGCTACATCCTTTTGTTCCACGAGCATCTCGCAAACTCATCGAGCCGTTCCATATATTACCAGCAACTTCCTTGTTTCTTGGCACTTTGGTCACTCGATGTCATTTCCAATATGAATGGCCATCCAAACCGGTCCTAAAGAAAGTTACAATGCGTTTCGACCACAGCTACAACATGTTGACCGTATTTTTTGTAAGACGAAGAAGAAATTACAAGTTTGAGATTCGGTACGACGAATTTGAAGACTTTGCTGTTGTCAATAGCAACACAACTAATGTTGAAATTATAAGATTATTCTTTTCCGTGAGACATCCTCCTAGGTTGTATCAACAAGTTGACGATGATGATGGTAATGATGTCGCTAATAATGGTAATGACGATGGTGACAACGATGACGATAATGACGGTGATAATAGTGTTCAAGATGAGGGATTTGACGTCAGCGACATGTCAGATAATGACTCTGAAAGTGAGAGTTTTTCTACTGATGATGAATACCCAGATGTCGTCCGAAATTTTCATAATCGCTCGGTACCCGACTATGCAGATGATGCTCTCTGGTGGGAAAGAGTAGTTGATGTTCAAGGCGGCGAGAAAGCATGGGGTGAATGCTTTACCTACTGCTTCACAATCCCACCAAAAGAGTCCACTCTTCTAAGAAGATTGCTAACCACACTTGATGGGAGATACGGAAAGAAAGCTTTTTATACCTGGGTGAAGAATACTTATGGAAGATTACCACAGATCAATATTCCTGATGAACTGGATTTCGACGTCAGTTATACCTTCGACAGCATTCTTACATCCCATCCTTCTGTTCGAGGAAGACTTGATGAATCGCGCCTTGTTGATCTACTAGGAAATCGAAATGCCAATGTTGTTGTGGCTTGTTTGGAGAAATTGCGTAAGGCGTTAGAAAGAAACCCATTTTGCGATCCCCAAAAGATCCTTGAACGGCTTTTAACTGGAGAAATTAAAGTTGAATCTAAGCAAATTCAAAATCAGGTCCCAAGTCACTGTGCTTTAATTAAACGAGTTGTAATCACTCCAACGAGAGTTCTTCTGTACCCTTCTGAGTTCATGGTAAAGAATCGCGTTCTTAGGCATTATGAAAGAGATGACTTCCTTTGCGTTGTTAGTATTCGAGAGGAGAACCTTTCCAAGCTTTCTACTGGAAGAGGCAGTATTGATCTACTTTTGGATAACATCAACCAAGTTTTAAACAACGGTTTGAGTATCGGAAGAAAGCCTTTTAACTTCTTAGCGTCTTCAAACAGTCAGCTTCGTAATCATAGCTGTTGGTTTGTGGGGCCCAGCATTCCACCGGAGGATGTGCGACGATGGATGGGAGACTTCACACATATAAGGTTAGTTACAGTTTACCTATACCGTTTAGTTCAGGTGTCGTGGTTTTGCAAACAAGGGTTGGTTGGTCACTTACTAAGATATCAATTACTAATTAGTATTAATTTTGCTAGGATATTAGCCGTACTAACCCATTGGAAGACGTTTTCAACACACATCTTAGTCATCCTGGATGTTTAATTCGTTCAGTATTATTTATATAATTTATTCTAGTGGGCAATGTTTATATTTTCCTTGTTCCATTATGATATAGTTTCGAACTAATCATCTGGTATTTATACTTGGCAAAGGTAGCACAAAACGTTAGTACCAGACGCCTTGTAATGTAAGCTAAATGTGTGGTTTTCACGAGATCGGCGGTCTAGAAAGCCAAATATCAGGGTTCAATTCCTGGTTCAGAAAACAATTTTTTATTGTTCTCTGCACTGTCAAACTAGTTTGGGAGATTAAAGATGTGGATTTTTGTCAACATGTTAAACGGTTAAACGTACCTGTATATAATGAAGCTGCTAAGTGTGGGCAATGGGATATTACAGGGATTAAATTACATGGATTTGCGTCATGATTTCAAAGAGGACTCCCTACGCCACAAATATCAGCTTAATTATGTGCGTGCGATATCCATTAAACCGACGTGACTCCCAAGAATGAACGATGCCGTCTCTTACTTACTCATAAAATACAAATCTGAATTGATTTCTCCGCATACAGTTTAGGGGGCAATGATGGCAAGTTGATTCGTTTTCCAAGCAGAATTTAGTTTATAATGTTGTTTGCGCAAATTTAATGTAACTGTTAAAATCAATACAAGTATCGTTAAAAGAAACTCTTTATTTTGCTTGCTATTGTTTAGATGTGTAGCGACTTTGATGGCTCGAATGGGTCAATGCTTTTCTACATCCCTGGATACCGCCGGCGTAGAAACGCCTAACGACGAAATCTATACCGAGGAAGATGACGTAATGACTTCTGACAAAGAGTATTGTTTTTCCGATGGAGTGGGTAGAATATCGGAGGAGCTTGCCGTAGAGGTGTGCAAACGTTTTCTTGTACGCAACAGAAGCATTATACCCCACAGCCTGAAATAAAAATACTTAAATTTTTGCTTTCAAGCAACCTGATGCATTTATGAGATTCATGCTATTTGTTCTAGAAGCAATAGTGCCAATGCCTTTCTATTACACAACCCTAAGCACCAGCCACTAAACCCTAAACGATTTGAAGTTGCTTTTTCACCATCTTAACCCTCACATTGCCACCACCACATAAAATATAGAAGCTTGTTGCAATCCCAATTGTAATTTGCGCGAGAAAAAATTATAAAAAATATATTAGATAGGACGATCTCCAACCCCCATTTTAACGTAATTGCGTGAAAACACCACACGTGATTCAGTGATTTAATTAACCTGTATCACGTTGATTGTTTAAGGTTGCACAGAATTTGGGGAAACCATTTACACCCTCTGCTTTTCAAGTACGATTCGCTGGTTATAAAGGTGTACTAGCATGCGATCCTACATTTGCGGGAAGGATGGCATCGTTTCGTCCAAGTATGAGGAAATTCGAGAGCAATCACCGCAGACTTGAAGTTACCCACACATCTCGGCCCCAGGCTGTTTTTCTAAACCAGCAGGTTATTATGCTTCTCTCTAACCTTGAAGTCCCAGATGAGGCGTTTATTGATCTACAAAAGGAAATGCTAGATAAATTGGCAAGTAAGTTTTGACGCGAATAAATTATTTTGGAATGTTCCTGATGGTTTTGACCAGGCTTTGGATTTTTTTTTAAAAGAACAATTTTAATTAGTGTATCTTGCACATTATTACAATAATTGTTCAATCTCAAATTACTGTACAGGTATGTTGGTAGAAGAAACTTATGCCATCGCGTTCTTGGGAAATGGATCCAAAATGGACATATCATATCGTACTTTGTCAAATGGTGGCGTACAGTTGACGACAGAGCCATTCTTTAAGTCTATGTTGGTTGCAATGCATAGGAATCACATTCATGAACTCCTTTCCCGCTCCAGAATTCTTCTACCAGCAGAAGGAGCACGGTTAATGATGGGTGTAATGGACGAGGAAGGTGTATTAAAACCTGGACAGGTGGGTTGTTTTGTAAACTTTTTCCTCTTATAAAAGCTAATAGTGAGGCAAAACAATTTTTAAAAATTTTCCCTACTACTGTATTTTTTCAATTGAAGGCTTCATTTCCCGTACCATAAGAATGTTTGAATAAGTTGTTCCAATTCTTTTGTTTTCTAAAACAGTCTTTAAGGGTGCTTTCCATTTAATGGCCTGACCGGTCAGACTCAAATTTTTGTCTCCGTGTCAATGGAAAGATCTGGTCTATGTTTCTCAAATATCTAGCGAAAATAGACCTCATTCTAATTTTATCTAATTTTTCGGTCAAACAGGTCCGAATCCCGAACGTTTTGTGTTCCATTCAACAATTTTTTGGTCTTGCCGTGTTTATGGAAAGCGGCCTAAAATAGATTCTGTATTTTCCTACTGTTTACCTCCTGATCATAGTTCCAGAAGGCACTCGTTATTACTTGTATCTCCTTAAGAAATGGAAGACGAGTGGCTTTTATCTTGTTATAATGAACGACAGGAATGTAGAGATAACACGAGTGTTTTACACCCTTTTCGAGGTAGTCTGCGAGCAGGCTCTTAAGGTGAATTGATAGCCTGCGCTGATGATATACAATTTTGACTGTCTGCCCCGTAACGTTCGTTTTTCCAAATATGGAATGTCTATCGTTATATGGTGTTGTTTACAACTTTCGTGCAAACTAAATTTAAACCGTACAGTTTATACTGTTTTTCGAAATATAAGATATCAAGCAAAAGTTTAAATGTTAATTTAAATACTGTATACTCAATACAAAACATTTCGTGCTTTGAGATAAGATGGCCAAGACCAATTTGATCAGTTAATGTGTTTTTTATCCATATAGTGCTTCAGCAGTTGACATATATAGAGCTCAGCGGAAACATATAAATTATAGCATCTGGCCAATGAGAATTTCGCGTCCCGATTCGAGATGCAGATATTCAAAATTGTATGCCATCAGTGCAGGCTCTCAATTCACCTTGGGAGCCTGTTCGCAGGCTGTTTTCGAGGGATTATCACGCTACAGGAGCACGATACATTTTTCCATTTCTGTTATAAGAGAAGAATATATTAAACATTATAAGCAACAACAACAACATTATAATTGAATTTATTTTTGTAATTTTAATTGAAATTCTTCTAACATGTAATCAGTGATGTCATTCGCATACTTTTGTTCGTCATTTAGGAACCACGTTGAATTCTTTCCCGTAATTTCTAGAGAGGAATTTATTCAGTTGTTGTACCAAAATTTACCTAATTATGCTTTCCGTATCCCCTGAGCTCTCTTCCAGACGTTTTTTATGAACAACGAAATCTAATGTAATATAGATCAACTGCGAGTAACTGCCTTAACGTGTTTATAGTACTACACATAAATCTGTATAACGGCGGTTCCCTACTTTTGGTTACCACTGCCGATTTGTATTGACATACATTTCCTTTTATCAAATCAGTGGGCGATACGGTCGTATAAGATTGAATTCCCTAAATCTATTATTTTTAAGGTTTTCGTGCAATATTCTGCGGTTTCGAAAGATGAAGAACACGAATTCAACCTGGATGATAAAAGAATTCTCACCGGTGTAGTTGTTGTCACAAGGAATCCATGCTTACATCCGGGTGATGTTCGCCAGTTGCAGGCTGTGAATGCTCCGAGCCTCAGTCACCTGGTTGATTGTATTGTGTTTCCACGACTTGGATTGCGTCCGCATCCGAACGAGATGTCAGGTAAAACTAACATGTCGACAGGGATTGTATTTCCAACAATATACCAAAATTGTTGCCAAGCTCGCAATCTGGTGTTACAGTTATACTATCCATATCATATCATATCAAGAATAATTTGTTATCAAGTTTTTGAAATTTTCATGGTTTATATTTTGATATATCAGTTTTTGCAATTAGACGTTCAGCTGGGCCCAGATGTGCAGTATTGATATAATGCCAGCAGGTCGATTTCTTCACGTTTAACACTAGCAAACATCTCTGTAGTTGTTCTTGAAGAAATTCAAATTAGTTTTTCACTAGAACTTTAACAACTAGGGAAAACGTCAAATGGATATCTGGCGCTATCCAATACAAAAGAAGTTAGTTTAGTATACATTACCCGAAATTAGCAACAAAATGTGACTACATAGGCTAAAACCTTATAAGCATATTATGGCAACCCTGCACTGTTTCCCGACCTCGTCGTCAACAAAGCAGTGATTTTCTAACGTTTTCGTAGCCTATTTATTCAAGTCGAGTATTTCTACAACCGACAAAGTCATGTTCAAAATAATCAACGTTTAATCAACTCCGTACCACTTCCTTTGACATTTTTGAAGCTGTGTGATGAAACAATCGAGAACTTAGAGAGTAATCTATATCATGAATATGAAAGGCTAGGTCGTGGACAATATAAATACACCACGAAAACGTTTCAAACGACTGCTTTATTGATCGCGAGGTCGTATTGCCATGATGTCAAGTTAAAATGTTCCATATATGTTCTCTGTTAAACATGAAAGGCCATGATTGTATAGGTGATATCCAAATTACTATACAAGCGGTGGCCATTTCGTCGTTAATTTCTGGTAATGAATGTGGAAGGGATTTCATTATTTGCAAGTACACGTCTTTCATAACAGCGTGCACTACCATCTAGAATAAAGTTAGTTTTCTTCATTGAAAATCAATATGTCCAAAGACTTTATTTTAATAATACTTAATTATTTTAATTAATTCAGGTGGCGACTTAGACGGTGATTTGTACTTTGTGTGCTGGAAACAAAGTCTCTTGCCTAATAAGCCAGATTATCAACCGATGGATTACAAAGCATTACCGAAGAAAGAAGAAACAGAACCAATCACATCTTCCCACATGACTAAGTTTATAGTCGATTATATCCGGTCGGATCAACTAGGAGTTATTGATAATACACACAAAGCACTGGCTGACCAAGAAGAAGAGGGAGTTCAATCTGATATATGTCTTCATCTCGCAGAGATCCATTCATTGGCAGTGGATGCTCCTAAAACTGGTATGTGGCCCAAAATGCCAAAGACAAACCTTAAAAAGTACCCTGACTTCATGATGAAATCGGACAAACAAAGTTATCCTTCAGAAAATGTGCTGGGAAAGCTTTATCGGCGCTGTCAGAAGTTTAAAGACACGACCTCCGAAAACTGTAACCAAAAAATGCGAATAGACAAATCATTTCTCTTGCCAGGGAGAGACAGGTATCTTCGCAATGCAAAAGTAGTGTATCAGAAATATCGTGAGAAGATGGAGGCGTTGATGCGTCTATATGGTATTCATTCTGAGGCAGAAATATTTACAGGTTGCTTCTTAAAGCTTCGAAATCGTTTGCCTAAGGAAAAACCAAAGATTGCAGAAATCGTAAGCGAGATAGTTGTTGGAATTCGTAGTGAGTTCCGACGTGAGTTCTTTGACGAGTTTGGTATGAGTGAACAGCGATTAACCAAAGATGCAAAAATATCAAAAGAGGTAATTCCATTGTCATTTAGTATAAATGTTTATTAGCTTTTGTAAATTCTAATTGGCATAAATACCTAAATAGCATAAATAGCAATTAAAATAAAGTGTACGGCACCTGAACTATTCAACATCCTGCTTGACAGTGCTTCTAAATCCATAAATACATTTACATATTATGCACATAGTGTATGTTTTCAAAATCCGCCGTATTTATTTACATTATAGAACCCATTGTTTCGCGGTTCACACGCAATTTACGTCGGTAATTTTCACTAATAATAAGAGAGTGAGATCAAAGTGGGTGTTGTCACTCGCCAACCAAATTAACTGTCTAGGTTCTGTACCACGTGACCTGTTCAAATCGTTCCGAGCGCGTGGAATCTTATGCCATCATAACAGCCTCGATAACATGTTCTGGGACATATAAGGAAGTTGGGGGCACGTTTATGCCACATATGGAAGCATGGTTTCCTCTCGCTTCGAACGACGAAATAATTGGATGATCCTATCCAGCTCTTATTATTAGTGAAAAACACCGACGTAGAAACCATTCTTGGGTTATTTTTGTTTAATATCAATTAGTAGCTACGATCTTGTCATGTTTTCTGTACGTAGTGATAGAAACAATAGATAGCTTTGGGAAAGAGTTATTGCATTCAGGTTTATACGGTTGTGCTAAACCAATGTTTTCTGCACAATATAGGTTTATCTGAAAGCGTCGGCCTGGTACACAGCCACTTACATATGCGAAGAAAACTGGGAACAACTTCAGGAGAAGCGTTTACTTGGCCTTCCTTGGATTGTAGATGACGTCATGTCCTTTATAAAGTGTCAACAACAACCCCCACTTTTCATTCAAAGCTTGGACGTTAATGCTGCCGTCGGTGAGAGTCTTGTGAGATTGTTCGATGAAGAAAAGACGCAGTTGCTTGAACAGATAAAGGAGAGAATAAGGGTAAAGAATTGGGTTGAAGCTCATCTACAGTCGTTTAAGCAAAACCTCTCTATTTATTTCTCTGGAATATCGCGAACGTTGCTATTCCACCATAATTCAAATATAGAACTCTGCGTCCTTTCTAACGAAGACTGCCGTACAAGCAAGGACATCAAAGCTGAAAGGAGCATTCTTGAACAGCTCGGGTGTCAATTGAAGGCTAAAGCTGATGTCAAATATAAAGCTGGAGATACAGAGATGGAACATCTCTTTTATGAAGTTCGTTTACAAAACACGGAAAATTTTGCGGTAAGAATATGGCATGTTTAATAAATTTGATTTTGATTTTTTTTTAATTTCTCTTGTTTTGGATGCGCGCGCGTTAATTGGAATCACTTCACAACGTTTGAAATGACGTGGTTGATGTGCCGTTTAATTAAATTTTAAATGACGCGAGCCAACAGATCACGACACTTTTGTATATAATTCAGCCAGGTGTTATGGCTGCGATGTAACTTTTAATAAACCTATCTACCTACCTCTCTCATTTATCTACTGGTGGTTTGTATCCAATTATCATTAATCTGGACCTAGGATTTCCCAGAATAAAAGCAGTATGACAGTATGGATGTGTACGTTTGTAGACTCTTACTAAAAAATGAAATTGACTATATTTCTTCCATGACCGGGTTCCTTTATATAGGATTTTCCTGGAAAACATAATTTTTTGTTGTTCTATCTTGGATAGTAATTGTCTTCATGTTCGCCTACATGTAGCGATAAAGATGACTGAGATACTATATTAGGCCTAGAGTATGGGGAAAACGTTGTGCTCGAACTTTCTCGTTAAACAATTTCCACATGCGTCATACAGTACATTCATTCTTCCCCAGATCACAATTTACAAGACTTGAGAGAATCCTCCCGTATAGGAAAGATTAAATAGATTTTTCTGATATATAGTACTTGTTCCTTTGTAAAATTTGAAACTCAAAGAAACCGATTATTACTCGCTGGGGCACTCGTCCAGACGAATATAGGTTTCGGCATGCATTTTTCTTAGATCGTCGATAGCCACAAAATAGAATATTAATGAGCTGCCTAATTTTCCCCCCAATTATCTATAAGGCTCCTGCCAATTTTACCCAAATTATCCATAAATAACCCTGCATTTTGAGGAAAATTCGGGAAAATTGAACAGTTTTACAAGGAATTTCGACATGGAAACAGCAATCTTCGCATATCGCAAGGTGCGTTTGGCTGCGCTGCTTTAAGGACCTGTCACACTATTGCGTATCGTACTAGCGTATGTCAGCGTATGAAAAATATCACTCATACGCCGGTATACGCTGGCATACGCTAGGGGTACGTTAGCAGCCTCGTACCCAGGCGCAATTAACTAAAAATAGGCACACTACAGTGCTTTTATATAGATCAGTGGCTAAATTGAGTGAGCGCGCGGGGGTGCTTGGGGAGGACGCAGGAAACGAAGCGCCTGGGAGAATATGTAACAAACATGGCGGACATGAGAATGCAAATGAGGAAATCAGTGCTGTACTATTTGCCCATTGAACGTTACATTTGGGAAAGATTTTATGCCCAAATGATCACTGCGTTGTAATAAGGATTTTTCCTTGAAAACGGTATTATTTATCATTTTAGCTGGCGACTTTCCTTTCGAAATTAGAAAGCCTGCTGGAGTGCTGGTCATGAGAGAACTCGAGTTCATTGAACATTAAAAAAAAGATTTATTTTTAATGGTTGAAAATATATGTCTGGTGTTAGATGCAAATCATGAACATACTGCCTTTTTGCAGTTCGATAGAAATGTATTCAAGCAAAGAAAC